TTTTTTTGAATTGGTAAATCCTCAGGGAGACATTTATGTAAACATAATCTAGGAGTTAAATCTGCAGGGAACTCAGTGATAGGTATGATAATTTCCAATATTTTCTGCCAATAGTTGGATAGTTTTGGGCATGACCAGAAAATGTGGTATAAAGTACTTGTCTGTCCACGGCCTCTCAAACATAAAATAGATTTGGAGAAGCGTTCTTGGAACATTTTAAATGGAGATAAATACCAAATGAGATTTTAAGTGGGAAATGCAACGTGTAATAGCTTTCAATGCAAGTAATGATTCATGCCATTCTTTCACTGTGAATACCTCACCCAGATCACTCTTCCACTTTGTCATGTATGGCAATTTAATGCCTACTTGTCCTGCAAAAAAGGCATAACACATGGAAATGGTTTGTTTCTAGATTTGAGATTTCCAATTTTCTAGAATTCGGACCCAGGTCGGAAATCCCAAAATGCTCGCTAATTTTTTTATCCAAATTTGCATGTGCTCAGGCATCAAAAACACTTAAGTGGAATCTCTTTTGTAGCTGTTCAAATGTTAAAAATTTAGAAGATAGAAAAAAAAATCATTAATACAATGAATCGAATGGGAGGACCAATAGTCTACATCTAATTCAGGCATGGCTAATTTTAATTCTGACAGATGAGTGGTTCTAGACCAGACAGCAAAAGGGTTAATTTTTCGATATAGTATATTCCAAGCCTTAATAGTGGTCTTGGTCATAAGAAACATGTCCACCAACCTTGTGCGCTGAGATGGAAGCAACCATAGACTATCTTTAATCAAATGCAGAGAGAGTTTGCAAGCCTCCATCTCAAGCCAAAAGGGATGGTCATGCTCTTGATTGAATTTCAGCAACATCGCTGCATTAGTTGCATAATAACAATGAATACAATCTGGCGAGCCCCCCCCCTCCGCTAACCCTGAGCTATTGAAGTATGGATAATTTAATCCTAGTTGGTTTTCTAAAAACAAAAAAAAAGATAAAGGTATCGAAAGGGGGAAGGCTCTAAGAAAATATAAAATTTTGGGAAGGAGAGTCATTTTAAACGAATTAACCCTACCTAACAATGAAATTTCCAGACTACAACACCTCTCAAAATTCTTCCTAAAGTCAGCCCAGACCTTACCCAGGTTATAAGAATGCATCTTGGAAAGGTTCTTGCATAGGTTAATGCCCAGGTAAGAGATATAAGAGTCCCTCCAATCTAAGTTAATCTGACCTTTCAAAGTGTCTAAATCATACCAAGGTATGTAGAAAGAGAGAGCTTGAGTTTTAGTCTGTATTTAATTTATAGAACGAAATTTCGCCAAAATCCTGCAGGATCGACATCAACTGAGTAATTGAAGTAATTGGGTTTTTAAGCGATAACATGATGTCGTCTGCAAAAAGGCCTACTTTATGTTCCTTACCCCCTACTGCAATACCTTTGATATCTGCATTGCAGCGTGTCATCTCAGCCAGGGGTTCCATTGGCAGCACAAACAGGAGTGGATACAATGGGCACCTCTGTCTGGTCCCATTGGACAATGAAACAAAATCAGTGGCAGTTGGTTGACAATATAGTGTAAACACACTGATAAAGGGGTCTGAGATGTTAAGACAAGACTTCCCTCACGTAATCCCAATGGATCCAATTGAAGGATTTCTCCGCATCCAAAGATAGGGGCAAAGAAGAGTAGATTTAAGATGAATAATCAAATTCATGAAACGCCTGGTGCCATCTGGAGCCTGACGGTTCATAACAAAACCTACCTTGTCTTTGTCAGTTATGGACGGAAGAAATCGATTAAGTCTTTTAGCTTAAATTTTTTTTATAAATCTTTGTGTCATTATTAATTAATGAAATGGGACGAAAATTCGAGCAGACATTAGATGTCTTACCAGGTTTAGGTAACTTGACTATTTGTGCTCACAAAGCCTACCCCGGCATTCCCCCTGTGTTCCAATAATGATTGGATAGGTAAGTTAAATGAGGGGTTAGAACACCAGAGAAACACTTATAGTATGTCATGGTAAAACCATAAGGCCCCGGGGCTTTGCCTTGTGGGATCAAATTAATGGAATCTGTAATTTCTTTTGAGGTGGTGGGTGAATTTAGAATATGCAATATATCCGTAGATATCATTTTTAAAGAGATCCTGTCCAGAAAAGAGCGTATTGTATCAGATGTGGGCTGTATCGTATTGGGATTGGAAACCAAATTATATTTTTTTTTTGTAGTATTCCGCAAACATATTGCTTATCTTAACCGAATGAGTTACTTTAATGCCTCTCTTATCCAGTAGATGCTCAATTCTGGATTGGGAAGCTCTGTGGCGTAGTCTAGCATAAAAAAACCTGTTTCAATCTCCTCAACATCAAGACCGTGTGTTCCTGGAGAGTGCTAATTTTAACTATAACATCTTAAATCTTTGCCGTGAGGGGTAAGGAAGGGCCAATTTTGTTAGCCTTATTCAAAGCATACAGTTCTTATAGACCACCTTTTTTTCAAGTAGGAGGCTTGTTGTATAAATTGTCCCCTAAGAACCGCTTCATAGGTATTCCACAACGAAGTGTCCTGCAAATATAGAGCCAAATTTTCCCTAAAATAATTATTAATCGCTGATTCAGCCAATGTTTTATTCTCAAGCTCAGTAACTAAGTAATCGCTATGTCTCCATTTTCTGTTTGGGTTCGACTGGAAAGACTCGTCTATACACATCATTATGGGGGCCAGAGCGCAAAACAAGGGGTATAATATTCTCACCAACCAAGAACCTGTCAATCCGAGAATACATGTTATATGTGCAATGTATAGTCTTTCTCTCCTTCATGCTGTACACGCCAACACTCAAATAGGCCCTGGGATGAAATAAATTTGGAACAAATGTCAGCCAATTTTTCACTATTATGATTTTTAGCTGCACTATTTGCATCTCTAACAATATTGTAGTCACAGTCTAAAACAAATTTGGTGTCACCACCCAAAAGTAATCTGCCTCTGAACCCATCCGAAACTTTACTAACAATAGATTTCAAAAAACGAAATTGCCCAGAGTTAGGGGAATACAGATTTACCAGAGTGGACTCAGTACTATTAACTGAACCTTTCCAAAGTAGGTATCCGCCATATGGATCCAAAGTCATGTCCTCTGTGTGGCAAGCTACAATTTTACAAAAAAATATGGAGACACCCCTAGATTTTTTACAAAATGTAGAGTGATACCAGGTAAGATAATTTTTCTTTAGAATACTGGGTACATTATCCATTTCAAACTGTGTCTCCTGAATGAACAACACCTCTGGTTTGTTGTGCTTCACTTTAAATAAAAGTCTCCTTTTGTGTGTATTGTTCAGTCCCCTCACAGTAAATGCTAAAACATTTAAAACCATTCCTATCACTCAAAAAGTGCAAACAAAAAAAAAAAAAACGGTGAAGGGATTTTAAAACGCCACACAACCCAAAATATATTTTAAAATTAAACTATCCTTCCTGAGTGAGTAAAGTCCACCTGACCGATTTATGTTTGACTCCGTGTATCACTAAAATATTATACCAAGTTATTACATCAAAGGAATAAAGCAGCACATTATGGATGACGTGATCCTTATTTGCCCAACATAAATAATAAAAGGGTAAAATAAACTTGGAGAAAACCCCCTAATAAGGTAAGAATTAAAAGTATGTTTCCAAATAGAATAAAAAATTAAGTATATATATAAAATAAGGCCATGAGAGGAGAAGTAAAACATTCCTCCATCCCAAAAAGATTTACAGGCCTACGTTGGGGGAGAGAAGACCGGGGACATTGGTCATTATAAAAAGTAAATAAAAGAAAACTAAAATAATGTAAGGTTATGTAGTACATTGTATTAATATAAAATTAAAAAGAACAAAAAGCAGAATATAAAATACATTAACAGTAAAATAATAATAATAATAAAAAAATACCCAAAAAAGAGAAAAATAACGTTAGAAGAATAAAAAAACAAAACAAATTAAACATAAATTCACAGAGCAAAAAAAATGACAAAAAGAAAGTCACAAATGTTTTTAATGTATATGATAAAAACAAACTAGTCTAGGAGACAGAAACCAGAATCTGAAGAACAATCTTCATAACAAATTCCAAGGGATAGGAACCCGTGACGAGCGGAATGAATGCAGAAATCCATAACTGATCTCCAGGAAGCATTGTTCTGGAAGCTCAGAATAATGAAAGGAAATCAGGAACCAGGAACAAAGAATGGGATGTCTACTCGAGCCAGAAACGAGGAACAGCAGGCCGTACTCAGGAATCATGGTTCTTCATAGGTATCATGCTTGCTCCTCTTGCAGTAAGGTGCAGATGTAGATGGGGATAAATTATGGGATGGAGCTGAGGATTCCCTGTTCATATGTTGATAAAGTTCCATGCCCTCTTCTAAAGTGGTGATGATATAATTTTGTGCATCCATCCGAAACAATACTTTAACAGGAAAGCCCCATCTATACCTGATGTTTCTGTGACGAAGTTTGGATATGAAGGGCTGGAACTCTCTACGCTTTTTCATATTGTATGCTAAAAAGTCTGGGAAAATCTTTATATTATTATACTCCTCAGCTAATCCAGATGTGTGTGTAGCTCCCAAGAATTCCTCCTTGACGTGGTAATAGTGGAAGTGAACTATTACATCACTGGGAGCCATTGCAGGTGCACTGTTAGGCTTGGGCAGTCTATGGATGGGGTCCAAAATCAGATCAAAGTTGGTGGCATTAGGTTTGACCGCCTTCACCATATATTGAAAATAATTAGGCAATTCCAGGTTGTCAACAGAGTCAGGGATTCCACTGATATGTAGATTATCTCATTGCTCAGGTCTTCTGCGTCCGCAGATTTTTCCGCCTGTTGATTAAATTGCTTTTGTAGATTTTCAACTTTCTCAAATAAGTCTAAGTGTGACTGTTCCTGGTAATGGAGTCTATTTTTGGCATCCTTTGTTCACGAAGTAATGTCCATACATGTCCATAAATAGCTTCAAAATCTTTTTTAAAGTCATTCCTGATTTCAAGTCTTTTATTTTTGATGAGGTCAATTAACATGTCAGCTGAAGCTGGCAGAACTGAAGACATCTCAGGTGGCATATTAGGATTGCTACTGTAGTAGAAATACTTTTTTTCTATATTGGTGGAAGCCATATTGGAAGTGGTAGTAGCCATCTTGGTGGTGGTGGTATTAACATCAGTAGTAACAGCCATCTTGGTAGTGACAATACTTTTTAATATGTGTGGCTGCGTTGGCACTTTAGGCACATCCCCCTCCATCTCTGTTTCAGCTTCTTCAGGGCTGTAAATTGCCCCTTCTTCGCCACTTATTGTCTGTGGCACTTTAAAATCCAAAGAGGTGGGGACCAAGGACTCCCCTGCCAGGGCCGACAGCTGTAAGGCCAAGGGACCTGGCGGGGATCGGGACCTCGCCCAATTCTCCCACTTATCAGTAGCCCGGTCACAAGTGTATTTAAGCGACCGGACTACTCCACTCTTAGACCACTCGTGGTCTTTGCAGCGCTCAGAGCACACATGCCTGCCTTCCATGATCGCCGCTTACAGATTGGATGCGCTCGCATATGTCTGGGGTCTAGGTGAGGGCCAAGCGGGTAAAGGTATCCCTGTGGGGTCCAGTGAGGATTCCTGTGGTAAAATAAGCCGCAATGTCAGTAAATAGGTAGGAGAGTGGGTTTGTAATTGTAGCGGATCGGCAATATTAAATCCCCGAATTCCGCTGGTACATACAGTAATCCACAGTCAAGCGCTGAAAAGCAAGGCAATATCCAAATCTCCCAGTAACCGGACGAAACACAGTTCTGAGAGTCAACTGAGGTCTTTATTTGCAGCTCCACAATTTATACAATTCCCCATACAAGGGGTTTCCTGAGTCCCATCCCAGGGGCATTCCCAGAGTGGACTACATGGGGAACTTGCATTACAGAGCTTTTCTCCCATCAGGCACTGCTGCACAAGAGGGATCCTCCCACTAGAATATACCGTTAAGTGGATTATCCCTCCGTGCAGCAGAACCGGCAATTTATATTAAAATACACAACTTTTCGAATATTCAGTCTATTTGCACGAATGGACGTTTGCTAGATAGCTGGGGTCTGAGTGCATCATTCGTGAGATTACCGCTCAGATCCCAGCTAAAACAACCGAACGCCGCATGAAAAACACATTAATTAAAATATATATTCAAAAGACCGATTGAAGTCTAGGGAACATAATACCGAACGGCCCGGAACTCCCGAACGGCCTGGAAGCTCAGCGGTGTTCGCGCCGTCGAGTAGCCGTTTTTAGTACCATGCACTCGATGACCAAACACTGCTGAGGGAACAAAGGATCCAAGATGGCCGACCGCCGCATGGTCGGTAGTCGAACGGCGGCCACCTAGGAGAGCCTCTAATTACCGATTGCAACATTGTTGCAATCGGTTAACAAGCGCCACACGTCTCTAAGTGTGTGGGTTATACATGGTGGTTATTTCGGTTCACGAACGGCCCGCAAAGGTGCCGTTCGTGAAACGAAATGAAATACAGCTATCTGCATTCGGCAGATAGCCAATACAGGAAACACACGGTATTACAGCCAGCATACATTATACTTAGTTAAACACATATCCCCACAGACATACAGGCAACACTTAAGGGCACAGTCTCTTTATATTGTCCAAGTGGCTAGGTTTGCCACAATGCTCCCCCACAACCAAGCCGGCATACACAGTCTGATCCCAACGGATCGGCTTGGGGATGTCCGGAGGAGGGCTCACTTCTCTAGGTCTGTTTGTCTAGATAACCCGCCGGCGTTACCGTTTTGTTTTCCAGGGTGATAATGAATGGTAAAGTCAAAAGGCTGCAGCACCAAACTCCAGCGCAGCAGTCTGGCATTGTCTCCAGCCACACGGTTCAGCCACACCAACAGGTTGTGATCTGTGAGCAAAGAAAAGGGTTGCCCATAGAGACATGGTTGTAACTTTTTCAGGGCCCACACCATGGCCAGGCATTCTTTTTCGATGGCGGCGTAGCTCACTTCTCGAGGTAACAGTTTCCTGCTCAAATATGCTATGGGATGTTCTCCGCCATCTGCTTCAACCTGGCTCAGTACTGCTCCCAATCCAAACATTGTAGCGTCTGTGTGGACAAAAAAAAAGGTTTAGTTGGTTCAGGATCAGCAAGTACAGGAGCATTTGTCAGAGCCGTTGATTAAATGCCTGTTCACACTCCGGGGCCCAGATGACCTCTCTGGGTAGGTTCTTACGCATCAAGTCAGTCAGGGGCTTGGCCAGGGCACTGTAGTTGGGCACAAACTTCCTATAATACCCAGCGGTACCTAAGAAGGCGAGGACTTGAGTTTTAGTCCTAGGGGTGGGCCACTTAGCTATGGCTTCAATCTTTGCGGGCTCAGGCTTCTGTTGCCCGCTCCCTACTCGGTGTCCTAAGTATTGCACCTCTGCCATCCCTATGTGGCACTTGCTAGGTTTTAAGGTGAGCCCTGCCTCTCCAATCCGATCTATTACGGCCCCTATGTGTCGTAGATGATCGTCCCAGGTCTGGCTATAGATGGCAATATCGTCCAGGTATGCACATGCATAATCCTGGAACCCATCCAGTAGCTGGTCCACCATCCGCTGGAATGTTGCGGGGGCGTTCTTCATCCCGAATGGCATGACTCTGAATTGGTACAAGCCAAACGGGATGACAAACGCTGACTTGGGGATGGCGTCCTAGGCTAGTGGAATTTGCCAGTATCCCTTACAAAGATCTATTGTAGTGAGATACTGACCTCTAGCCATCTTATCTAGCAGTTCGTCTATCCGGGGCATCGGGTAGGCGTCTGACACGGTTTTGTCGTTTAGCCTCCGGTAGTCCACACAAAACTGGGTTGTACCATCTTTCTTGGGAACCAGGACTACCGGCAATGCCCAGGGGCTATCGGAGTGTTCGTTAACCCCTAACTGCAACATCTCCTCAATTTCTTTCCTCATATGCTCCCGTACGGATTCGGGAATCCGATATGGGGTCTGTCGCATGGGAATCTGTCCCGGGGTTTCTACTCGGTGGGTGGCCAGTGGAGTGTACCCAGGTAAGTTAGAAAAGGTGGCACCCTTTGCCGCTATCAGTTCTTGTATCTGGGTGCGCTCTTGAGGACTTAGCCGCTCCCCCAGCTGAGCCCCTTGGGAGGGCTCCTTCTGCTCCTCCTGTTCTAACAGATCTGGGAGAGGTAAGTTCTCCTGATCTTCAGAGGCGGGCGTGCATATGGCCGCCACGTCCTCGGTTCTCTCGTGGCAGGGTTTGAGCATGTTCACATGGAGCATGCGTCGCTTCCCTACCCTGGAGCATGGGCCGATCACATAGGTGGTATCGCATCTCTGCTCTGTAGTTTGTCTGTGCGGACAGGTTTGAGGATCAGTACCTTCTGTCTCACTTGAAAACTACGGTCTCTTGCCCCCCTGTCATACCCCAGCGGCGCTGTCGTTGTTGGGCGGCCTGGAGGTTAGTGCGCACTGCCTGGGTCAATTCCTGCAGGCGATCCCGGAATGCCAGCACATATGGTACAATAGGGGTCCCATCTGCACTACTCTCTCCCTCCCAATGCTCTCTAATGAGGTCCAACGGTCCCCGTACCCTTCTCCCAAACAACAGCTCAAACGGGGAGAAGCCGGTAGATTCTTGGGGTACCTCCCTATAGGCAAACAACAGATGGGGAAGAAACCGTTCCCAGTCCTTATGGGTCTCTCCGAATGTACAGAGCATCTGTTTTAGGGTACCGTTGAACCTCTCACATAATCCGTTGGATTGGGGATGGTAAGCAGAGTTTGGCTTAATGCCACATATTCTCCATAACTGCTGGGTGACCTCTGCTGTAAATTGAGTCCCCCTATCAGAGATAATCTCCTGCGGGAACCCTACTCTCGAAAAGATTTTCATCAAGGCTTCTGCCACTGTCTCCGCATGAATATTCGTTAGGGCAATCGCCTCGGGGTACCGGGTGGCGTAGTCCACCACGGTTAATATATACCGCTTCCCAGAGGGGCTGGGTTTTGGTAGCGGTCCCACTATGTCTACGACCACACGGCTAAATGGTTCCTCAATAATAGGCAGGGGACACAGTTTTGCTTTGTGGCGATCCCCACTCTTACCTACCCGCTGACATACATCACAGGAGGTACAGTAGTGCCTCACATTTTTAGAAATCCCCGGCCAGAAGAAAGCGTGGGTTAAGCGGTAGCGGGTACGGGTCATCCCTAAATGGCCAGACAGAGGGATGTCATGAGCTATTCTCAGTAACTCGGGTCGATATTTCTGGGGCACTACCAGCTGTTTGGTTTGTACTGTCACAGAGTTCCCTATCGCTCTTTCAGTTATCCGGTACAGTTATTTATTTTCCCAAATGTACCGCTCCCCCTCCCGCCCTACCTGGTCAGTGTCTACCCAATCCCTGTACACCTGCAGATAGCCAATACAGGAAACAAACGGTATTACAGCCAGCATACATTATACTTAGTTAAACACATATCCCCACAGACATACAGGCAACCCTTAAAGGCACAGTCTCCTTATATTGTCCAAGTGGCTAGGTTTGTCACAGTAATCCCTTACGCACCCCCACAGCAGTCTTATCAATAATATTCGATCCAGGCACTGTTTTTTTCTTTATTCTCCTGTCTCTTCTCCTGTTATATCAAGGTTCTTAAATTTGCAGATTTGGAACCTTAAAGTCCCCATGTCCCCAGTGTCATGTATTCGTCCGCACATAAAAATGTGGTTAATGGCATTTACCATCCTGACAGGAAAAGTTGTGCCGAGCAGCATTACCGTTCTGACAGGAAAGGTTGTGCCGAGCAGCAATCATGCACATGAAAACCTGGTAATTGCTTTAGGGGTCAATGGCCAATCAGATACACAAGAGGGGTATTTAAACCCAATTCTCCTTTTGCTCATTGCCCTATAGTGGTTTCATCCGGATGATAATCCGAGAGTGCGTTTCTGATCTTGATTTTCTGGTATTTGACTTTGGCTTTGTTTTAACTTGAATTCTGGTATCCTTGACTTTTGGCTTTCCCCCATTGTTGTGTCTGATTCTGTGTTCCTGACCTCGGCAAGTATTTTGACTATTCTTGGATATGTTCTAAGGTCCGGTTATTTGTTATCCATAATCCTAGGTGTGACACAGTTCTGCATGCTGGATCAACTTGTAATCCTGACTCCCAGAGCTTTTCTAAAAGATGGCCATCTAAGATGGTGGCCAAGACATGCCCCTCCATTTGCACAATTCTGTGCACAACTCTACCAAAAAGGTGCTAAATGTACCTTAACATATCCATTTAAAGTGCAACAGTAATAAATAAAGTTAATGTAAGCACCAAAAGCAGATGGCATTCACCCATGAGTACTTAGGAATTATTTTCTTTTATGAATCATACCAGGCCACTGGAGAAATACAGATGTGTTGTTTTATTTTAAAAGGGTTCAAAAGCTCAACCCAGAAACTACAGACCTGTGGACTTAACATCTGTGGTTGAGAACTCATTTGAAGGGCTGTTA